GGGAGGGGGGTCCTAATCCCATTTTCCCGCAGGAAACACGTTTTTTTGCAAATGTCAGTTCAAATCTAACAATCCCAGCCTGAGTTGCTCAAATCTAAATCCCATTCCCATTTTTCTATTGTCTTGGTTTCATGAATCCCATTCCCAGTGCATGAAATCCCATTTCCCAGCTGCTGAAAAAGGCAAATCCCATTTTACCCCTTCAGGACCCTCGTGTTAAGTGAAGAAAAAGAAGTAACATTCGGTTCTTAATAATTTTTGAAGCCAATGAATACTTCATAGTTAGGATCCAATCTCACCTCCCCCTCCCCCAACCAAAAATTACGTCACCCAAGACCTTAATTAATTTATTACATGCGCCGGCCAGATATTCTGTGCGAAACCACCCGTCTACAGCTTTAATCTTTTTTCACTGTGTGACCGGGTTATTGTACTATCCTGTCTTTTTAGTTTTAATCTAACGATTGGTATGGGGGTTTGATCTGTAAACTACCATTTCACAACTTAATGTACATATTATTAAACATAAAAATATATTCCCTATTTTACCAGCACTTTTGCCTGTGTGGTGAAGAGGAGAAAGGGGAATACATCATTTGTGATGTCCAATGCCAAAATTGTCTTATATTCTACCATCCTTTGTGCGTTGGGCTGAATTTTAAAGGTCAGCAGCTGCGGGGATACTCCAACTGTCCAAATGGGAATTCGTATGTTTGTCCTCTTTGCGAAGATGTGCTGAAAAAGGTTTGTGTTAGTCAGGACCTTTCTTGTGTGTTTTGTCATGTTTCGTAATTTTTATTTTTGTCGAGGTCGTTTGCTTAAGGTTATCGGAGACCTTCAGGGGTATGTTTCTCTTAAACTGTCTCTACGCAACACGTTCAACAAAACCCCGCCCTAATGCTATATATCGTTTTAAAGGTCATATGAAGATTTCGAAAATAATATTATTTGAAAGAGAATTTCTAATTTGAAACAATGCCGAGCTTTAAACACAACCAGAAAAATACACATGCTGTACATTGATTGTGCAAAGTAATAACAGGGACCGTTTCGCCTAAGACTATGTACAAGAGAACATGAACTACTTAGTTCATTTTCTCTTGCTATGTATGCTTGAGTCTTACAGCTGTACCGTAAACATGAGAACCCAGAAATGCAAACGAAACTCTTTCATCATGCTTTTAATAATACCCCCCCAGCTATTCAAGTCTGATGAATGCTAGTAAATGGATTAATAGTGGCTTTGTTTTTGATTGTTTGTCCGTTTTCCTTTTTTAAACAGAGCCTGGGTTCAGTTCATAAATTTCTCTATTTTAAATATACTTTAATATGAAAATTTGTGTATGTTCAGTGTGGCATAGAAGTCAACGCATCTTCAGGTACGGAGGAGGCCGAGTGCATTGTCAAGGTAAGGTAGCTCTCCACAAACATAAATTATATTGATTGAAAAGAACCAGATTCTCCCTCTCTCAATATCTTGATTTCTCTATTATATGTAGTAATATGCAGTAGTATGTAATATCTATTCGATCGAGTGCTGGTGCCAAACCCATGACCAATAACTCGAATTAGCACTATATACAGAATCCTTTGTTTTCTATGTTTTAATTATTACCATTTGGTAGAGTACAAACACTAAAAGTGTGCAATATTTTGCACTATTTAGCACTAAATAGGGCTAATTAGTATATGTAATAGGACTCCATGCTGCCCAATTAAGAAATAATTGGACGAGAAAAATTCCGAGAACTTCCAAAATTGGATGAGGCCGTAGGCCGAGTCCAATTTGGCAGTCAGAGGAATTTTTCGAGTCTAATTATTTCTTGTTTGGGGAGCATGAAATCCCATTACCTATTAATGATATAGCTGCCTAATTAATCCCATATCAACAAGACCTGTCCAATTAAGAAAGTAATTGAACAGTTACCTATATGGGATTAATGAGAAGCTGTATAATTAAGCAATAGAATTAGCATGCTTTGGTAGTATTTAGTGCTATTATGTTGCACACTTCAAGTGTTGATGTTGTGTTGTTTTTTGTATTGTGTTTCAATACCCATATCTATCTTTCAACTTTTGTGATGTGATTATAGTCCGCAAGCAGAACAACCCAAGGAAATGATGATGAAAGTATTTTGCAAAACCAGGTGAGTGTAATTTCATGAAATGTTTCAGTGAAATGCACAATAGATTCAATCTTAGCTGTGTCATTGATACATAGAACACTTCATTACAATAGGATAACTTTCAACCTATAACAAGCTGGAGTGATTTAGAGTCCTTGGATGGTGGCACGCAACTTGAGTCTAGAGAGGTGGGGCTTGCTTTAACATGTTTGATATCACGATGTCTTATGTCACGATCTTGTTACTACAATTTTAATGAGGATGACAAATTATTTATTTGGTTTTCTCTGTTCACAGGAATCATCAGAAAGTGATGACAAAAAGAAAACGAACGAACTACCGAGAGTAAGTGAAAAAAAATTGAAAACGATTTTATTAATGCAAACATCTTATAATTAAGAACGTAACTTTAAAACAGAGTTCACCAGAAAATTTGGAAGACGACAGTAAGCTGAAGGATGGGGACGGAAGTATTTATGGAAAAGAGAAGGTACGTGAATTTTACTAATACACTGCGAATTATCTATTCAAATATATATAAAAAACAAGGCATGTTCTTCGGTTTCGACTTTTTCTTTTAATTGTAAAAACTGAGCAATGTCTATCATGTGACGTATAGTAGTGAAGCATATTATAGCCTGCGTAAAAAACACGGAACTATTTCATTCCTTTCTTAATTAGTGCATTTGCCGTTTTACAGGAAAACCTTTCAAGGGAAACTGTTAGACATATGGCAGGTTGTCCAGCTTTTCCAAGCGGAATGTTTTTTAATGCGGACATTGATCCTCACACAAGATTTGTTATTCCCATTGACCTATGGGAAGGTTTGAAAAAGAGGTCAACCAAACCACATAAGCTACATCGAACGTGGACATCCATTTTTTTGCAGTATCTGCAAAAAGAATGTAACCCACACTGCGTATTAGCAATGAAAGACCACTATGTTGCCTCGGACAACAGTCGAAAGCAAAAAGGCGAAGATGTTGCATTCCGAGCAAGGGCCGTTTGCAAGTTTACTGATTGTTCCGTTGAAGTGCTCTTAACAATGAGCAAAAGAAATGCTTCACTCGGGATTGTGGAAGTGCAACAGAAAGGACGTATCAAACACTCAGTGCACGAGAAGAGAGCACAGCACATCAACGGTCATGAGCGTCAGAAGATGTACGACGTTTTTGCAAGCAACGATGTCAGACCAACAACCGCTTATCATCACGAGGTTGCTGAAAGGACAAAGGAAGCAATTGCTTCAGGTAACAGAAATGGTGCAGGACTGACAAAATCTGTGATGCAGAAAATATCGAGTGAGGGAAGAAAGAAGGCAAGACGAATGAATGACGACGTACACAAATCGTTGGCTGAGGTTCAAGCATACACCGAACTGAAGGAAAGCGAGAGAAACCCATTAGCGAAAAATGTGAAGGGATACATACAAAAACTAGAACATGCAAAAGATCTGGAAATATACATGTGGACAGAAAGACAGGTGCGATGCTGGAATGACATTTGTCAAAAAGGAGCAGCACACTTAGATGCAACAGGAACTGTAGTAGGAAACTGGAATGGTAAACGGGTTCTTTACTATGCGCTAGTTGTCAGTTCTCCGAAATCGAGCTCGCCGTCCATACCTGTGGCCGAGATGCTCACAACCAAACACAACGTACCAACCATCAGCAGTTTTTTGAATCATTTCAAGTATTCTCATCAATTGCTGTCAAAGCGTACAGTTCCGCGACAAATCATTACAGACAGAGCCAATGCTCTAATGTTAGCTTCCGTTAAGAGTTTCAATTCCGAAACTATACAAGCATTTCTGAAGAGGGCTTATCGGATTGTAACAAAGACCGCAACAATTGACGACTTCAATTTGATGATTCCTCACGTTTGTTGCAGCCACATGATGAAGAATTTCTATGACGCAATCAAACGTGCAAACGTACAAGGAGATTTCAAGCAGTTCTTACTATACACATGCTCCTTACTTGTCAATGCCCGCACACTTGAAGAGCTAACTCAAGCTTATGAAGACATTTGTCTTTTGTTGAGTTCAGAATACTCGTGTCAGGAAGTGGAAGGAGCATACAAGAATCTGCAGGAAAAGATTAAGAAACTGGGGAAGGAACAACAATTAGAAATCGAAGATGTTGGAAAAGCAACGAAGGAGGACGACGCAGCCGAAGACACAGATTCAGAACGAGCAACGACCAAAGACAACCCCTCCGCAGCACACTTTGAGAAGAAGAGATTGGCAGTAGAGAGCAGAAAATTGCAAATGAACTTCACTACTTCCGCAAACAAATGTCAAAACGAAGCGTTGCTGAAATATATTGACAAAGCACTTGAGACATGTCCATTTTGGAACGCCCTTTTGATGGGTTCCTTAAAGCGCTTCAAACTTCCTACTCACCCAGAGAAAGCTTTAACATTCAGAGAGGTGAAGACAAAAACACAGGGTCACATAGAGAATTATTTTAAGATGGTTAAGAATCATGATTTCAGAGGACGATCGCACCTGAGGGTTGACGAGTTCTTGAAAGAGCAATACGGTTACCTAGACAACCGTATTGTTGCTTTCGGGGAAGAATCTATAAAACAGAAAGATGAAAGAAAGAAAAAGAGTTCCGAGGAAAAGGAAAGAAGTATGCAGAATCAAGATACCTCGGATGAGTTCGAATTAGCCAAAGAGACATGTTGTAAGCCTACCAAAAAGAAGAGACGTATTACGGGCAAGTATCAAAACCCTCCAGTGCAAGACTTCCCGAAAAATGTACTGGTCGAGGATTTACAGGAAGACGAAAAGTCCATTGATAAAAGGATAGATGGTTTCCACGTGTTTGCAGAAGCCAGGAGAGGAGAGATAGAGAGGAAAAAACCCAAACGAGTGAGTTTCAAAAACGCCGCAGCCAAAGAGTGGAACAGACTGACAAAAAAGGAACGTTCTCGATGGAATGAAGACGCCAAAGAAAGAAACCAAAAAAGAAAAGAGGACACTACGAGAAGTACAAAGGGGAAAAGCAAGCAGTCTAGCGAGGCAGAGAATACAACAAGTGATAGAGTTGAAAAGAGAGAGATCGAAATAACGCCGAACCAAAAACACCATCCGAGGGAAAAGAAACCTCCCAGTAGAGAAGTCAAGTGCCAAAAAACTGACAAAGGGATTGGGTTTAGAAGAGAAAAGCAGTAATTTGGGTTACAAGAGCAAGGAAGGAGAGACGAAAGACATGCTCAGAAATGTTAAGAATGCAGCTGAAGGAGATGAAATGCTGGACACCGAGAGGGAAAGTGACGACTTGTCATCAACATCGAGTGGCCACAACGCCGACAACACAAGGCTATTTCCAGATTTCGCTGCCGAACACATGGCGTACAAACCGCTACCACTGCCCAATTTGGGGAATAGTTGCTGGTTCAATTCCCTATTACAATGTATATGTGCTTCCTCACTAGCTGCGGACATTGTCGAAACATCTTTCAGGGRACCTCAAACCATTGGGTATCAGATTTCCTCTCTTTTGAAGTCTATGCTGTACAGAGGCGAAGTGGAGGAAAAATTAGTGTATTTGTACAGCACCCTCTCTAGCAAACACCAATTTAACGCCCAACAACAAGACGCAGGGGAAGCTATAATGTTTTTGCTGGAGGAGATGAAAGCCGATGCAAAAAACAGTTGTACTCCTATCCAAAGGTTAACTGCCTTTACTTCCATTTTCAAGGAGTGTACGGAATGCAGAAAAGAGATATGCATTCAGGATGAACCTATAATGGTTCTTTCACTTGCATTACAACCCAGAGAGACCGGGGAAAAACAAGAAGGAGCTCAAGTGGGGCAGTCCATCCAAGCTATGCTCGATACATACTTTGCAGAAGATGTAATGGGAAGGGAGGAACACCACATAGAATGTGACACATGTGGCGTTGAGACGGACCACATTATCAAAACCTGTTGTACTTTGTGCCCCGATGTCTTAATGTTAAACATCAAGCGATATGACACAAACACGAGGAAAATATCCCGCAGAATCACAATAGATGACACTATCTCTCTTCTAGGAAGCGAAGGTACAAAACGGCACAAGTACAGACTGCAAGGAGTAGTACTTCACAATGGTACCAGTGCAAGAAGTGGACACTACACATCGGTATTGAGAGCAGAGGACGRCGATAGCTGGTATGCTGCGGATGATCTTTCAGTGCGCAAAAGAACCACAAAGGCAATGCTTGAGGAAGCGGAACGCAATTGCTACCTCCTGCTGTATGAGAAGGACACTGAAGAAACCAGCAAAAATTTAAATCCTGGGCAAACAAGAGAGGGAGAGCTTTTATCCGAACGTCTTCAAAAAGCAAATAACGCAAATGGCARAGAAGAGGTCCTTGCAAATGTAGAGGGCGTACTACTGAGAGGGAAAGACCTTAAGACACTTGAATACCCGCAAAGAGATTTCAGTTATTCACTCGAAAGCCCACCTGGCTGGATTAACGACAACATTGTTRTGGCGGTGTTAAAGCACATAGAGAAGGAAGCTAAAGGAGACGGTTTGCAAGTGAAAGCGATGGACACATTGTTTGCCAGTAAATTGAAAGAAATAGACAGTCTTCCCCATTCTGACCGTCCACTGGAATTCGAGAGACTAATGCGCAGACTAAAGAATTGTGACGTCAAAAACACGCACATGTACATTGTCCCGCAACATATCGGCGAAGGGCATTGGACGATAACCATCGTAAACAATTGCGATCGGGATAAGAGTGAAGTTGTCTTTTACGATCCTGGTGACGGCRAAGCCGAACCTGATCAAAGGTTTTGTTTACGGCTTGCTTCCTTTTTCAAAATTGCCACGAACATGAACGAACAAAGAATTATAACAAAGGAACTAAAACCTGAAATTCRTAGGGAGACAAAATTTCCCCGACAGCAAGATGCCAGCAGCTGTGGAGTATGTTGTTTACTGTACGCCAAGATAATGACGACAATGTACAGCTGCCCGGAACAAGTCGTGTTCGAATGTTACAGAGYAAGAACTGARCTAACAAAGGGACTGTTGGGAGGCAGCATCGACTGGGCGTTCATGAAGAAAGAAGACAAAACTCACCTTCAAGTACACACTCATCCACCTAATAAGATAGAAATGGCTATCGACGATGAGGTGAATGTGACCTGCCTAGCCACAGGGAAAGGGAGATTGAAGTACGAATGGTTTGAGGAAACATACGCATTCCTCGCGCCAAGGACCATAGGCCATGGTAGCACTGTAAACATCRAAGGTAGTATMGTGGAAAATCATACACGGGTTTTCTTTTGTAAAGTTACCACAGACCAGGAGGAGGAAGAAACAAAGCCAATGGAAGTGTGCCTCTTTCCAAGGGACAAGTTTGAAAATAAAATTTATGCCTTCCGGTCCAATTTGAAACATCTTGTCCACAACATGTGGCCTAATAAAGCACCAGAGACAATTTTATGTCCGTTGCAAATAACAATGGACGAGGTGGAGAAGCTCATTCCAACATACGAAGCATACCTGAGAGAAATAGCGCAAACGCCAGTCAAATGGGGAAAACCCACCAAGCAATACCAAAGGCATCAAGCATTCCTTCAATGGCCCTCTAAATATGTTCAACGGATACAATTGTCAATGGCCACTTTTGGAACGGCAATTTTTGGTGACGATACAAAAGAGATTATCACGAAATTGGTAATGCGAATGTTCAGTAAGAAGAAGGGTCTTGGATTGAAAGGAGGTGTGTACTACTCTTTGATCTTACCGAACGAAGCAATGACCAAACTGATCATGGATAGCAAAAACTGCAGCTATGAAGAGGCCACTGGTTTGGGCCGTGGAAAGACTGTAGCTATGGAGACGGAATGYGGAGAGGAGTGGGACAATGTGATGAATCCAAATAGATAATTCATAACAGAGCCAAAAACATGCACAGCCTACAAGAAAAACMAGCAATATAACACTGAAAAACAGTGTGTGCCTTTTATAAGCGAGAAGGCATATTTTACTTCTTTAATTTCATTTTCACCTCGTATTTGTCTTCTCCTTGACGCAAACTTGCCTTTTCGTCCTTCATGCGTGAAGGTATATTTTACTTCTTCTCGTATACTTCTCGAGATCGTGCAAGGTTAAACATGCGAATTCTTTGGTGAAATAATTTACATTCGCAGTCTGCATAATTTCTTTGTACTTCTTGTATTTTTTCAAAAGTCTCTAGAGCTAWAAAACCCGTGAATCAGTTTGGAAAATGGTAATGGAAGCTCGGTTCTCTTTCACGAGCAAAAGGGCGAACGCCACCAACTGAACAGAGAGTAAATAAACATTAAATTTCACCACACAAGATCATATTCACTTCAACGTTATTGGCGTTGGACAAGATCAAGTCATTAAACAAAGACATCAACAGTGTGAGCGACACAAGCTCTTGTTCTATTATAGTGATACTAGTACGATCTCTGATGTACGGAAATACCGCTTTCAACAACATATTTATCACAGTGATAACATTCAGATAACATTCAACAAATAAAATCCTGCTCCTCTAAAAAAATATTTCAAAAGAATCTTGCTAAAACGTTTCCAGTCCAATATTAGCCAGTGATGATATTATTTCTTTTGTTATTTTCACCTAATTATTATGCCTTTCTTCTTTTTTGTCATTATAAATGTATTATTAGCATGTGTAAAAATAGACCCAAGTTATTTATCTTTTTAATGTAATATTTGTGAATAAGCTACCTGACTTGATTAGTTGTTTGATTACTTAAGGTAACCTAACACCTTCTTTTTTTCTATTATTATCTGTAAAATGCAATAAGCATATCTGGATGTGGTGTAAATAAATAACATTCATTCATTCAGTAAAAAAAAACTTAAATAGCAAGTTTAATTTCATTTTCACCTCGTATCTGTCTTCTCCTTRACGCAAACTTGCCTTTTCGTCCTTTTTCTGTGCTTACTGAAGCTTAAAACTTTTCAGCGACGTCAGGTGAGTTACATTAAATCAATTGAGTTCAGATTCCTTTTGAGTTCGCGGATCGACCTGTTTCGAAAATGCGTAACACCTTTCTGTAGGTCTACGGCAAACAGTGTGTGCCTTTTATATGCGAAAAGGCATACTTTAGCTTCTTCTCGTGTACTCCATCTTTCTTTGTTCAACAATCATATGACAACGCGTTGCAGATCGTGAGCTTAACGGCGTTAAGTAAAAAACCTTTGAAATTGAGGGCATCGAAAAAATAAGAAAAAATCTCGGAAAAATTCTAAAGACCTTTACACTGGGCTAAGTGGTGTAGTGAGCGTTTGGTTATTGATTTTCGGGTGTTTAAGTTGAACCGTAGAGAAGTTATTAAACTTGGAATTAGGCGAGCGTGTCTGAAGTGGACTTCGCGWGAGTTGAAGTGTCGGATGTCATTTGCGGAACGAACCAAGTTCGGAGTCTTTTTTCGAGCATTTTCGAGTTGTTTATAGCCTGCAAATATCKTGCACTGGGGTCTTTTTTCGCTGTAGCGTGTAGTGAAGGAAAAACAAGTGAAAATGGAACATCCGGCGAAGAG